TTCGCACAGGACTTGGAAACTTTATGTCAAGAAAGCTGTTTTTTTTTTGCGGTTGAAGCTTGGCGTCGTCAGTATGGCGATTCAGTCTTGCAGCACATTGAGGATCCACGAGAGGAAGCGGAGCCCGTCGTATTCAGGCGGCCCGGAGTGGATGATCTGGAGTTGAAGGGTTGGAAGAAAGTTTATCGCAAGGATCCGGCCACGGAGGTGGTTGATGAAATTTATGTGGGTCCGAATGGACAAGTGCGTCCAGACCTTTTGGCTGCCTTTGAAGAATACCAAGGACGTGAGAGGAAGAATGCCGGACAGGCGTTGAGCTATGTGCAAGAACTCCTCAAACTGCATGCTGTCACGGAGATGGTTGTGCCGACTGACACGGACGCCAGCGTTGCTACGAATCTGCAGTGTTTGCAAGCAGATGGCCAAGAGGTAGCTGTGAAGACCACGAGCAATGTGGAAGCCAAACGTTTGGCCGTGACATCATCCAGTCTGGAAGACTACCTCTTTCGTGGCGATCATCCTTTGTTGGCAGGCTATGCGGTGTGTATAAATTGGTTCTATGTGGCATGTTAGCTGTACTCTTGTTGTGGCGATGTGAGTAGGTTGTTGTGTTGACATGCACAGTGTGGTTGTTTTCATATGTGCATAAATGTTATTTTTATTTTACATGTTCAGGTTCATATGTTCATATGTGTATTCCGTCGACTTTTGTTGGCGCAGGCATGAGTTGGGCCACGTATGGAACCTGGGTATACCGTGTGGAATTGGCACGGGGCGCAGACAAGTCGGTGAAGTCGGCCATACCTCGGTTTGTTGATATTTATTTCGATTGCTCGTACAAGCTCTACAACAGTCATGCGCAGCGGATCTCCAGTGAACCGCGTGTGCCTATGTTCGAAGGCTTCACCATGCCGCCGCTGACACACGACAGCGAGCGGAACGCCATGTACAAGCAAGTACAGTGCCGACCAGTAGGAGTCCATCTGGTGAAAGAGGTCGATGTTCAACACACTCAGGAAGAGTTGGTGCTGAATGCTTTCAAAGCATTTTCAACGCCTGTAGTTGAAACTGGCGATGTTCATGTGGATCGATCTCGACAGGC